AGCCCTCCTCAAATGAGAGTCTGGGAGGAGGTTGCATACAATGAGTGGCTTGAGGAAGGATGAAAACTTTTGGAATAGCTACTGTGATGAATGGGATGTTGAATTGATTAGGGATGTATAAAAGGATTGCCTTGCTACCATGAGGGTTTAGTTGAGATTATGTAATGTAAATTTTTAGTGGTCATCACTACTAGCAGAGTTTTGTGATTTACTCCAGCCTTGTTCAGCAGTATGTGAATTGGAGTGAATAGGGTAAATGATGGGACTAATCCAAAATTCAAGTTTGACAAGGCTTAAGTGGGCAAGGGATTGGAGAATAGAAAATAGTGTAGCATTGAACTGGGTCACTCAAGGTGGGGAAGGGAAGAGAGTTCATTCAATGCAGAAGTGACAGCTTGAGAGTAAGAAGGAGGACCACAGTAAGAATGAAAAATAGGGTTAGGTGGTCAAGACATAAGTAAACATGGAATGGACAGCTAGGTGGTGCAGTGGATAGAGTGCCAGGCCTAGAGTCAGGAAAACCTGAGTTCAAATCCAGCCTCAGACACTTACTAGCTGAGTGACCTTGGGCAAGTCACAACCCCATTTGCCTCAATTTCCTCATCTGTAAAATGAGTTGAAGGAGGAAATGACAAACCACTTCAGTATCTTTGCCACAAAAACCCCAAATGGGGTCATGGAGAGTTGAATATGATAAAAACAACAACAAACATGGAATTACAAAAGAATATAAACACATAAAGAAATTTTGGAGTTCATGAACATGTAAGCAGAACAGTTGTAGGTGACAGCAAGATCAAACATTTGATCATCTCTGTGTGTAGCTGAGGTCATGGGAATTGGGGAGATTGAGGAACTAGAAAATTAGGATATTTGAGGAGGTATCAATATGTATATAGGCATGAGATGCATGAGGACCAGAGTTGAGGTATGAAGACTGGTTCAGGCACTGAACTCATTGAGGAAGGAAGGGGCATTAAATATCTTGCAAGGTGATAGATAATGGCCAGTAGGATGTGGATTGGTTGTGCAAATTTGCACAGCATAACTTCAAAGGAGATGTTGCTATGATGGCTGTAGGAAGAGTCTGGAAATGGCAATAGGGAGTAAGGAGTGTTCTGACTCCTCCACCATGAATGGTGTTTGTGTGGCGGAAGAGAAACAAGGTAGAATTATGAATGAAAGTACAACCAGTACTGGAAAGAGTGGTTAGGGATGCAGAGTTCTCTGGAGGGTGCCAGTTTCTATGAGTGTCAAGATGGAAGGAGTGCGAAAGAAAAAGGTTTAGGATGAATAGAAAGGTCAGGCAGATGTTGAGTGGGACATTGGGAGAAGGGTAAGTTCCAAGGGGATGGGAGCAAGGGAGTTGGCAGTTGGGAATGAGGAACAGGATTTATATATCAGTGACTAGGGGGTTCAGAATCACTAAGATGAGAGGTAGGAGAAGGCTGATCATTGAGGAATGATTATAAAGGCTAGGCCAAATATCAGTTTGGAAAGAGGTCTGATCAGGGAGCCTGTTGATTAGGCTGTCTTTCCCCACTCCAATTTATCCTCCATATTATTGCCAAAATAATTTTCTTAAAGTCTAATCTGACTATTTCCCCTGCTTAAGAACATTTATTGCTTCTGGGATAAAATACAGAATGTCTCAGAGTTTGGTATGTAAAACCCTCCACAATCTGGCTCCAGTTTATCCTCCCAGGTTTATTGAGCTTGTATTCGACTCTTTTACACATTCTAGGTTCCAGCCAAACTGTCCTATTTACTCTTAACTGAACTTAACACTCCACCTCCCACATCCACACCTTTGCACAAGCTGTCCTTTATGTCTATAATTCTCTCCCCTCTTTACTTCAGTATCTTAGAATCCCTAGCATCCTTCATAGCTCAGCTCATATTGCCATCCATCTCTGATTGGAAGACTTTCCTGATAACCCTCAGGTACTACTACTTTCTCTCCCTCAGATTATCATGTGTGGGGTTTTTTTCTGCTTCCAGACTGTATTCTCCCCCACCCCCAGTAAAAAGAATTCTTAACTACTTGGGACTATTTTTTTCACTTTATCTTTGTATTCTTTGTACTTATGCATAGTATTTTGTGTGTGGTTGGCACTTTATAAATGCTTGTCCAGTTGAATTAGATGTGGAACTATTAAATTAGATCTGGAACCATTCTACAGTATTGCTGAAAAACGAACTTGTCAGACAGAGTGAACTGCATGAGCAAAGGCAACGATACAGCTAAGCCAAGCCTGAGACAAGTTCAGCATCCATCAATCAAGTAGCCAGTATGCATAAAATACCTGAAGGAGCATCTGGGGAGAAAGGTAAGCCAGAGTTAAAGAGGGGATGCCAGTCATAATGGTGAGCTTGATCTGAGATGTATGTTCCTTTCTCCCAGCTGAGGCACTGGGGCAGTCCTGGAAATTGAGATAAATGGTTTTGCTTCTTTGCCTGGATTCTCCTCCCTTAAGAAAGGGCTCAAGCCCTATCTTTTTCACAAAAGGGTCTCTAGGGCCAGTGTATCAACCTCACACCAGGGTACCTATCTCCTGAAGACAGGTCAAGGCCAATCTCTTCACTCTCTAGGCTGATGTTTTATTTTTTTGAATCTTCCTCTCAGTATTCCGGAAGGTAGCCTCTTAGAACCTGCATATCAGGAACATAGAGCTTGCTTATTGTGGCTGGGAAGTTTATGAAGCTTCTCTTCATTTTTCTCCACTCCCATGCCACTCCTACTCCACACAGCATTGTGTTGTGTCTCATCTTGCACCCATATGTTATATTTATACTGTATCACAGATATGTGCACACAGGATGCCTATTCTATTGGACCTGTGGTCTCACCTTAGACAGAAAGTGAATCACTTCCATCCCTGTCTTTCCTTTGGCTCTTAGCACTGTGCCCTATATACAGTAAATCTGTGCTTATTTAATTGAATTTCTCATACCCTTCCTGAAGGTGGATACAGCATGCCTTGGACTGTGCTTGGAGATCATTTGAGGGTTCCCTGCTTCAGGCTGAATAGTCCCTACTTTAGAAACCCTGGCTGCCTTCTCCAAGAATATGGGACTCTATATACCATATTGGCCAGAATGACCCTGGTTGTAGTGCCTCTATTGGAGACAAGGGGGCAGCATTATCACAGGGAAGCTTTAGTGTGGAGTCCAGGCTTCTAGGCAATTTCTTATGCTGTCTCATGCTGTAGGGCAGAGAAATGCCCAGCATTTTAGTGGACCCGCAGGGATACACTTACGTGCACCCATCACCCAGTCAGTTGAATTAGTCGTGTCACTTCGGGAAGTATGTGCCAAAGAAAAGAATGAGTGCTTTGGGCAGGGTGTCTATACTCTAGACCATGATGGAACTTGTGGCTCAGAGGGGATTGTTTCAGCTGTGTCAGGGTTCTGGTTGGGCTCCAGGGAAGGGATAGGTATCTCTTAATCATCCCTGGAAAACTTGGTGATGAGGGGATGACATCTCCAGAATGTCTGGAGTTTTCTTCAATCAGTCAACCAATTACTCAATAAGGATTTATTTTGTACCTACTATGTGCCAGGCATTGTACTAAGTCCTTCAATTGACTGGTATCTCAAACTTTCAAATCACAGACTCAAAGAATGTCCAGAAAGGTCCATTCACCCAGTTTCTCCATGGTGGAAGCTTGACTTTTTCTTCTGCCTCACCTCTCATAAAGAAGTCTTGCTGATTCTATCTCCCCATTCAGAAGCCAGCAGACTGACTGAGGGGGCAAGGTGATTAAATTGAATCACAGAGAAAGGGCTCAGGAAGGCCAGAGTTGAGAGATTCCTTTTAAGGTACTTGGGAGTCAGGAAGATTTTCCTCTCAGGGTTGAACTCACTAAACTCTAGAAACTTGGATAAGAGAAGCCAAAGGACCAGTTTTGGATTTTAAGATGCCATGTATAATGCAAAGAGTTGAATGTGAAGTCAGAGGACCTGGGTTCAAGTCCAGACTCTGTTATTTGCCACCTGTGTTACCTCAGGTAAGTCACCTAACATCTCTTGACCTCTGTTTCCTCATCTATAAAATAAGGGAAAATTGGACTATGTGAATATTACATAAACTCTTTCCAGCTATACTGTAAATTTGTGATCTATTCTCCTTTCCATTTCCTCTCTACAGCAAAATAGCCTCCTAACATATTTTCCTACCTCCATTCCTACCCACTCCAATCTGCTTCATACCAATGTCTAATCTTTTTCTGCACCTATCCAAACAACATCTAGTAGTGTCATCTCTTTGCTTAAATTGTCTATGACAATTTAAAATTCAGTTAAAATTCAAACTTTTTTGACTGACTTTCCAAGCCCCCTCTAATTTGTTACTACCCTATATTTCCAGTCTTATAATTACTCCCTTCCATAATCTCTGTAATTCAAACTGGACTACTCTTCCCTCTTCATATCTTTTCTATATGATTTCCCTTTGCCTGAAATACCCTTTCTCTCACCTACTGGTTTTCTGCCCATCCTTTAAAGTTATTTTTCAAATGCTACCTCCTCTATGAAGCTTTCCCTGATCCTCCTGCTAGTCATGACTTTTTTCTCCTAGAACCTCACATAGCACTTTGCTTAGCTCTTCTCTTTAAAAAACAAAAAACTTGTCATGTATTAGCATGTATTATAGTTATCTGTATTAATTTTTATCCCTCTATTAGACTTAGCTCTATGAAGGTAGGGTCCTCATATTATCTAAATGTTATATCTCTCCCAAGTGTTTAGTATAATACTCTGCACACTGAAACTCTTAATAAATGCTTGTAGAATGTTGAAATCAATATTTCAATGAAATGGAACCTACATTTCTAATCAAACCCACCCCTATTTTTCAGATGAGGAAAAGGAGGCCCAGAGAGGGCAAGGTCAAGTTATGAATTGACCCCAGGTCTCTTGTCTCCCAGGGCAAAGGTTCTGTCCATTATATATCAGAATGGTGTTATGGTCATTCCCTCCCATCCCACCCCCCTCACCTCCAAAGAAAGAACCTCTTTGGGGCCTCACACCTTGAGAGGCAGTTTTACTGGCACCCAGAAGAGGGACAGGATGAGGCAGGACAGGTCTGGAGCCTAGAGCAGGCCAGTTGTGGTGGGGAGGAAAGCTCAGTTCCTTCTGGCCTCCCTTTCAGCTCCCTCTCCCCTTCCACCTTTCCCTTGACCCAATCCAGCTCTACAATGTCCATGGCAACTGGAAGTCCTCAGGACCCAGTGGGCAGCAGTGAGTGGCCTCAATGTTCTTCATATATTTCTGAGCCAGGAATATTGCAAGTCTCTTCTGTTGGAAAGGGGACAGGTCCTCACCCACCTTCCAGGGGAAGTCTGGGCCGTGGGGATTTGGGGAGGTGCTTTGATTCTTCCACCTTAATTTCTTTCTGGACTTATTGTTCTTAGTCTTATACTTCTGCAATATAGTCAAGCACCATTTGCCATCCACACAATATTTCTGGCACACGGCAGCCTCTTGCTCTGGGTTAGCTGCCTGCAGCCAGTGTTTCACAGCCGCCACAGTCTCATCCGTCATCGCTCTGGGGTACCGGTATTTTAACAGTTTCAGTAGCAGGTAGTTGCCTCGGTTGCCCTCCAAGTCGATAGCGCGGGGGGCCTGATCGTCATTGTTCTCCGAGGAGAGAGCCTCAGTGTTGACCGCTTCATCCAGCATGCGGCGGATGAGCAGCACAGGTCCTGGATAACAGCAAAGCTGCTCTGCCACGTTGAGGTTGAAATGCTCCCGCACAGTGCGTTCTACCAATCCGTTGCAAAAGGTAGGTAGCACTTTCAGGGCCAGCGGCATGAGATCGTCAAAGGGAGCGTCTAGCACCAGCGCACCCAGCTGCGGGTAAGTCATGGTGGCCCACGTAGCCGTGAAAGTGCCAATGGACCAGCCATAGATCACAACGCGCTCAGGTAGAAAGTTCAATCTGTGCAAAGCGTATTTGACTACCACATCCATGGCATTGGCGTCGTTCTGTGGTGAGGCATCGCTGCTGCTCCCAGCGAAACCTGGGTGGTTCCAGCCCAGGACCGAGTAGCCAGCCTCCAGAGGCGCCGTAAGACAGCCCATCTCATAGAAGCCTGCGTTGCCCTCGCAGCAGATGACTAGGTGCAGGCCGAGGTTCCAGCTGCCAGGCTGCTGGCGTCGGTCCAGAAACATGGTGTCAATTTCTTTGCCATCACAAGCCTTCAGCTTAGCCCGCTGTCCTTTATACCTGTCCAGGAGGAGAGCTTGGCCCTCGAGCAGCATCGGCAGCAGCGCTTTGGTAGTGATGAACATGGACCCGGGATAGACGAGCCAGCGGCCTAACGAGTGTGCCAGCGCATAACTGGCCAGCTGGATCTGGGAGCCACAGCGGCTGCCTTGCGGAGTAGCCTGCATCAACAATACACCCTCAGCAGCCTCAGCTCTACTCCGTGCCGGGTGGCCATTGCTTTGGGTGCTTACCTCATCCCAGAGAAAGTCCACCGGCCAGCTCCTGAAATCATTGTAATTGTCGTCAATTAAAGTTTTAAACACGTGCCCAAGTGACTTTGCGAAGCAGTTCATACACATAAGCAGCAACGGGCAGGAGCTTCCATAGCGGGGTAGCGATAGGGATGAGGTTAGGGATGACATGGGGAAAGTACTAGGGCTAGGGAGGTTTGAGGAGGAAGAGGGAGAGTCTACAGAAGCCCCAAGGGACCATCAAATGTCAGGCATCACCTTGGAAGAAGCAGTTGAATGGCTGGTCAGCTTCTGTGGTTTCCATTCTTTGCCATTCTCCCCCATCTCAGAGTAGATGCGGCTCTGAGCCAGCCTGACCCTCAGTCCCCTTATAGGGGCTGCCTTTATGACCTGTGCTAAGTCATCAGTTAGGGGACACTGAAGGCCAGACAAGAGATGGTGATGGGGGTGGTCTGCTTTGTGAATTAGCATTGGTCCAGAACTGGTCAAAACAAAGAAAAAAAGAAAGGAACCATGAGAAGCTCTAGGTCATGAGTTTTTAAAGGTATGGGGACTGGCCAGATCTTGCTCCTTCAAAACATTCAACACTTCTAAATTAAAATCTCAGGACATCTAGGTGATGCAGTGAATAGAGTGCCGGCCCTGGATCAAGGAGGACCTGAGTTCAAATATGCCCCTCCCCCACTTACTAGTTGTGTGACCATGGGCAAGTCACTTGACCCTGTTTGCCTCAGTTTCCTCATCTGTAAAATGAGCTAGAGGAGGAAATGGCAAATCACTCAGAAGAGAGGCAGCTGGTGTTTTAGATAGAGTTCTGGACTTAGAGGCAAGAGGAACAGAATTTGAATCCCGCCTCAGACATGTAATAGTTTGTATGACCTTGAGCCTAGTCACTTAACTTTTTGGGGCCTCAGTTTCCTCATCTGTAAAATGATGTCCTCTAAGGTTCCTTGCATCTCTAAATCTACGAACCTATGATCTTCTATCCTAGACTGTGGGTCATGTGAGTGTTAGGTGTAGAGAAGGGTGTATGTTGAGGCCCCGGAGTCCTGGATTTAGAGTTGGAAACTTGGTTGGAATTTGAACTCTGCTAGTTACTATATGTGTTACTTTGGACCAGTTGCTTCCCCTCTTGGGGTCTCAACTTCCTCTGCAAAACTGGGGGGGGGTTGGAGAGTATAATCTTTAAGGTTTCTTCCATCTCATGATGGCCTTATAATCCCTTACAGTTTAACTGGGGTATGTGAATTTATTTTTTCAAAAATATTTTTGGGGCAGCTAGGTGGCGCAGTGGATAGAGCACCAGCCCCCAAGTCAGGAAGACCTGAGTTCAAATGCGACCTCAGACCAAACACTTGATACTTACTAGCTGTGTGACCCTGGGCAAGTCACTCAACCCCAATTGCCTAAAAAGCAAATATATGTGTGTGTGTGTGTATGTATATATATATGTATGTATTTGATAACTGCATTTCAGTAAATTAGCTTACTTTTTAATCTGTTGTGCTTTATTTTACACATTTAAAAACATCATTCTGAGAAGGGGTCCATAGATGTCACCAGGCTGCCAAAGGTATCCCTGACACAAAAAAAGAACCCTTTCTATGGACTTAACTCTCTTGCTTCCCTCTTTTCCTAGGATTAATGGGCACACTAGAGGAAGAGCTCTGAAATTTTACTTTCTCCTGAACAGCAGCTTCCAGAATCACAGAATTTGAGAGGCAGAAGGGACATCATCCGTCATCAAGTTCAATCGATACAGGAAAGAAATCCCCTTTACAACATACCCCACAAGTGATTGTCCTGACTCTGCCTGAAGAAGACCACCTAGGAGGTAAAGCCTACCACCCTCGATACAGTTCATTCTACTTCTGGACTGCTCTAATTATTATGGAGTTTTCTCACATCAAACCTAAATATGCATTTTTGCAACATCCATGCATCTCTCCTGATTCTGCCCCCTCGGGTGAAACAGAAAAAATCTAATCCCTCCTCCATATGGCAGCTTTTCAGATACTTGAAAGTTATTATATTCCCATTAGGTCTTCTCTTCAACAAACTAAACACGCACACTTCTTCAACCAATCCATATAGGACATGGACTCAAGATGCTTCACCATCCTGGTTGCCTTCTTCTGGACACTTCAGTATATGAAAGTCTTTCTTAAACTGTGACATAATGTGAACTGAACACAATACTGCTGACATGGTCTGATCAGGGAAGAGTACAAAAGAATTATCCTTATTCTTGGACTTTATTCCTCTCCTGATGTAGCTCAATATTATATTAGGTTTTGGGGGGCTAGTGCACCATACTGCTGGCTCATATTGAGCATGTAATCCATTGAAATCTATACATACACACACACATATATATGTAGGATTCTCTATATGTATGTGCATATGCATATATATATTTAATTTTATTTTTTTTCAAGAAAAACCTCTTTTGTCTCTCTTACTTTCCCCCTCCCCTTGAAAAACAAACAATAACAAAAACCTTATAACCAATGTACACGGTCAGGTAAAACAAATTTCCATGTTGTGTATGTCCACCGCCATGCCCCACCTCCCCCCTAGAAAAACTAACCATGTCTTATTCTGCACTTCGAGTTCATCACTTCTCTTGTTAGTAAATGAGTAGCATGCTTCATCACTGGTCCTCTGGAATCCTGGCTGGTCATTTTGTTGATCAGAGTTCTTAAGTCTTTCAAAGCTGTTTGTCTTTACAATTTTGTTGCTATTATACAAATTGTTCTCCTGGTTCTGCTCCCTTTATTTTGCATCAGTTCCTACAAATCTTCCCAGAATTCTCTGAAACCAAACCTTTCATCATTTCTTATGGCACAATTGTGTTTCATTATATTCATATACCATAATTTGTTTAGCCTTTCCTCGACTGATAGGCATCTCCTTAGTTTCTTTGCCATTACCAGAGCTGCTATAAATATTTTTGTATATATGGGTCAGGCCTATTAGTGGTATCTCTGGGTTAAAGGGTTTGCTCAAAGTTTGGTAACTTTTTGGTCATGGTTCCAAATTCCCTTTTTTTTTGGTGAGGTAATTGGGGTTAAGTGACTTGCCCAGTCACACAGCTAGTAAGTGTTATGTGTCTGAGGCTGGATTTGAACTCAGGTCCTCCTGACTCCAGGGCCAGTACTCTATCCACTGTGCCACCTAGCTGCTCCCCAAATTGCTTTTAAGACAAATTGTTATTTTCTGTTATGTTAATAACGTATCATTGATTGGGATCCAGGCTTTTTATTTCCTCATTCAGGGACCAGCCCCTGTAGGTCAGTCAGCCAGTCTCTGAAGGGCATGGCTGATAGAGAAGATTGCCCTAATCCTCGGGTACATGCTTCTCAATCATAGGCAGGACCCCACCCAACTAGGAGATCTCTTCCATTTGAAGTGTAAAGAGAATCTAATCTAAGTAAATTCTTTCTCTGGGGGAATAAGCCCATCTCCTTGCATCCCCCCGCTGGAGGTTAGGGTGATGCAGCTCATGAAGGAGAAGACCAATCACAGTAGTCTGGTTGGAGACGGATTCTCTGGTCCAGGTTGCTGGAGGCCCTGAGTCTTGTGATCAGCTGGAGAAGCTGTAGCTCACCTCCTCGTTTAAAGATCCACCAATCAGGGTTAATTACTCCTGTCAGGGGCATTCCCTTTCAAAAAAATATTCAAGGCATTCAGTGTCTCCACTAGGTGCCTTTGGTTACCAAAAGAAACCACTGACCATCAGTTTATTGATTATTAGTTAACTTAATTAATAAATTGGTTATTAATTACCTGGAAACTGTCTTTCAGGTTTTTCATTCATCACCCTTTTCAGAATGGCGGAAGCAATTCACAGCTCCACCAACAGTACATTAGTATCCTACAGCCCTGCCAACATTTTTTTGGTGAACTTTGTTAATCTGATGACTGTGAGATGGAACTTCAGAGTTGATTTAACATTAATTGCCCTAATTATTAGTGATTTGGAACCTTTTTTTTTTAATACAGCTATAGATAACTTAGATTTCTTCCTTTGAAAACTGCCTGTCCATATCCTTTTACTGTTTATCAATGGAAGAATGGTTCTTGTTCTTACAAATTTTAATCCACTTCTTATATATCTTGGAAAGAGACCTTATCAGAAAAATTTGTTGCAAAAATTTTTTTTCTACCAGTTACCTGCTTCCCTTTTAATTTTAACTGTATCGGTTTTATTTCTACAAAACCTTTTTATTTTTATATAATCAAAATTATCAGTTTTATCTTCTTTGATGCTTTCTATCCCTTGTTAGAAATATTTTCCCCTATTCATAGATCTGAAAGGTAATTTCTTCCTTGTGCCTCTAATTTGTTTATGGTATCAACCATTATGTTTAAGTCATGTATCCTTTGGAGCTTGTCAAATCCCAGATCTTTTTCAGAATAATTGCTGGATAGCCATGTCTCTTCTATCTTATACTTGTGATGTTGAAGTGAAAGACCATTTCCATTTATCCCTACTGAATTTCAGCTTATTAGATTCAGCTCAATGTTCTAACCTGTCAAGATCCTTTTGGATCCTTATTCTGTCATCCGCTGTGTTAGCTATTCCTATTAGCTTTGTGTCATCTTCAAATTTGCATAGCATCTATATATTTATCCAAGTCAAGCATAGATCCCTAGGGTTACTTCCCAGGAGAAATCCCACCAGTTACATTAAGGACTTTTTGAGTTGAGCCATCCAACCAGTTCAGAATCCATCTGTTTGTATTATCATCTAATCCACATCTTCTCTCCAGAACAGCATAAGAAACTTTATGCAAAGCTTTGTAAAAATCTACATAAACTATACGCACAGTATTTTCCTCCTGTCCTAGTTTAATAATCCTATCAAAAGCAAGGACAAGAGGCTAGTCTGGTATGAACTGGTATGATGATGCTATACTAGCTCTTTGCTGTCACTACTTCAGTATCTCACCAATTATCTCTTTAATGATCCATTTTAAACATTTCCCAGGAACTGAAGCCAAGATCACTGGCCTATAGTTTGTAGAATTTGTTCTCTTCTCTTTTTTGATATTTGCCCTGCTCCAACCTTATACCTCTTCCATTTTTTCCATGATCTTTCAAATATCATCAATAGGAGTTCAAAAAATAACTTCTGTAAATTCTTTTAGAAACTAAGGATTTGGTTCCTCTGAGTGATTTGAATTCATCAAAGGCAGCCAAGTGCTTCCCTACTCTCTCCTTACTTATCTTGGCTATCAGTTCCCTGTTAGTCATTTTTATTCTGTCATTTCTAGTGTAAAAGTCATTCTCCTTTGCAGAGAAAACAGAAACAAAAGTTGAACATTTCTAACTTTTCTCTTTTGTTAGCTATCATTCCCTCCAACTCAAGCAAAGCTCCTATCCCTTCTTTGATCCTCTTTTTTCTTCCAAAATAGCTAAAAATGCCCTTTTCATAGTCCTTAGCTTATTTCATTAGCCTCAGCTCATTCTGAACTT